ATATATATATATATGTGTGTGTGTATATATATAATATCTATATAAAATAGTTGCTGCAATATCTACTGTGAATTAGATATTTAAATTTTGTTGTGGCTTATTGTAGAACTCAAACACTGTTATAGAATAATATACGGGTAAATTTTTTATTATTTTATTTTGATATGAAATAATCATATTTCAAAAATACTTATCTTGTTGATAATATTTTCATGTGGAGATAATGACCCATGTTGGGTAGTCTTTGCTTTGAAAATTTCCGGTGTTGATCTGAAACATTGATGTCGAGATCGGGCGCTACTCTTGGTTCCTTGCGGTTTCAGTGGGATGTCGTTCAGTTGTTCCTCCATATTTCTCGTGGTCATCATTGGGTTTCTTTTGCTTCTCTCGGCCCCACGGTGGGCGCCAAAATGTTTCGTAGGGATTAGTTCAGGACCGGGAGACTAACCTTTCTGACGTGTTCTCCTTGCTTCCGAACGCTTGGATCGTCTGGACCACTCGCCTTGATTGTCAAAACCGCTCATTTCCAATCTGGATCACTCGTTTGTCGACTGCTCCGATCGGTTGTACTCTTGACCAGAGGGGGAAGTACTTGCAAAAGGCACTCTGACGCTCTAAGTTAGGCGTGTGATTTGAAGGCGCTCAAGTTAGGCGTGTGATTTAAAGAGCTCCGGCTAACTATTGAATATTCAGTGAACTGTTATCACTATTGAGTAATTAAACGTAGTGGAGTATGGGTAAAACGTAAGTAGAATGTGAGTGGAATGTATCTGACTTTTGGCCCTATCATTATATTTATAAGTGTTTCATATACCTAGGGATTCGGTTAATTATTCATCAACAGCTTTATTATCTCTAATCAAATATCTGGTTATTTTAATCGTCTGCTGAACTTTTGACCCAGTAATGATTTAAACAGTAATAAATGAAACGTCTGTCCAATTATGACCCAACATTGATGTAACGGATGAACCATACAGGATCGTGAACTTTTAATTGAGACTAAAATTACAATTTAATCTAATTCTAAAAAACATTTATCATTTAATATGGTGATTGAAATTATTTGTGACACGAATAATGGAAACTATAGAATATAGTACCACAAATTTAATTTGACCACCAAAAAAGACAGATTCATACTTTCATACATAAAATTAATGTTATTCAACCCAAAAGAAAAATCTAATTTTCCCCAATCAATTTTATCTACCGCAACGTACACTTATCCACTGCAACAGATTACTCAAATATAATTGTCATAATTAGAATTGATTTGTTCTGTTCGACACGTAATGCGTCATTTGAAAGTTCAGGTATAAGTGCTTATTATAATGCTTTTTAACTTTTTACTCTTCCACACTTGTAGAGAAAGAAGTAGGTGAAGAAAGAAGTAGGTGAAGAAAGAAGGTAAAAGATGGAAGGAAGGAAAAGGAGTGCGTCAGTGAATGAAGAAAAAGATATAAAAGAAAAGATAAAGACAAATAGTTCATTCCACAACTTTTTGCATATTGAAATGCATGAAATTGCAGAAAAAAACTGCCAACCTTCAACCTTCCAATAGGGGTAGAACGGGAGAATGAAAATAAGATCCAGTGACTCTGGGTTGCAATCACGACCACTTAAAAATAACATCACTTGCAGAGAAGCGTGCAAGTGATTTCAAGACAGTATGAAATGCTTGAATGTGTATGACAGTATGGTTTCATAAGACAGTAGAAGCTCCAACGCATGATTTCATAAAACTTGATAATCAAGGGCAGCATTTCAATTAAGCAAAATATGAAGGGAAAAATACAGTGAATAAAAAGATGACAAAATCCCCCGTACAGGGGGAATCATGAATATTCATGAGACCTAAAAAACATGCAGATTAATATAATATGACCTACAATTGATCACTTTATAATCAGATCCAGGGAAGGACAACAGGTGTAATTTATAAGTATTAAGAATCTTCCTTCTGCCGTTTTGGAGCATTTTCTCCGTCCTTGTCATTTTTCCGCTTGGCTTCTCGGCGCTCCCTCTTGACTCCTTTTGCTTTGTAAGGTAAAGCAGTTTCTCCAACCTAAGCCAAGCACAAATTGTTTCAGTTGGTTAGACATCTTTCAGAAGACAGAGCATGAAAAGTAACATGACAAGGCCACGTTCAAAAAATTTTCCAAAAGGAGCTAATTTATAACAGTTGATGCAACAAAAATAGTCGATATTACCTTCTGATCTGGAATATAAATACTTCCGATCTTTCCCTTTAATTCATCCCTTTTAACATTTTTCTCCTGTGAGAGTGACATAGAAAATACACAATTTAGGTACCCAGTTTCAATACAGTTACAGATAAAACAAATAAATCAGGACATGTAGCCAACCTTTTTCTTCGGCTTCTCCCTTGATGTTTTCATTGCTTCCTTCCTCAAACTTTCATTAGGAGGACGATGCCTACGAATAACAAAATCCATGGAAGGGCCAACTTCGACCAATTCCATCCTTGGCACAACAGTTCCAGACTTTTTCAGCCGCAATGCACAGTGTGTAAAAAGCACCCGATTTGGAGAAAGGGCGGCACATACATATGCCCGGTCTACTCCGGCAAGATTTAGATTTTCCACAACCTGCAGAATCCATCACATCATTTTGGTTAAAAAGAAAAAGGCAAAAGTGATGCTGCAAGACCACAAAAAACAATGGCAACGCACCTCACCACGAAGAAGATCAAGCAAAACTTCCTTCAAATGTTTTAGCTCGTCCACAGCCTCAAATCCTTCTCCAATAAATACGATAAAAGGTTTTGAGCCTTCCTTAGGAGCCAACTTCTTATCATAACTAAAAGACTCCATGGGCTTAAAATTTTCAATGCCAACCTCCACTAAATCATAGATGTGATGATCATAAGTTCTCCCTATAACAAGGTTATCAGGCCGCTTCTTTGAGTGAGATCCATACTGCAAAAAATACAACCAACAAATCAAAAAAACCTTAATGGAGTGTTTTGAAAGAGAATTTAAAGAGAACAAATCAATTTTTAAGTAAACTTAAATCCCATACACATCAAATCAACTTGTTTGCAAATCAAATTGAAAGAATCTTTAAAACGATAGAAATTTTGGTAGGTTATTTTTCGAAGCAAGATGAACAGAAAGACAATTCTATTCAAACAACATCTCAAATGAAAGAATTATAGTGTTTGAATGTTGGATACATGCATTCTAAGCATTTTTACGTCAAATCTCAAGTTTATGCAGAAACTACAATGTGTTGCATTGCTTTCCTAGTGGATCTACACTTTGTTGGACTAGACAACCAGTAAGAAAATCTGCATCTTTACACGATCTCAATGAGAACACTCTTATCCCAAAACTAATGCAATATCTCTATCTTGAGCACCCTCTTTTTCCTCAACTTACACTTCTCTGAATTCTATAAACCGATAATATTTACTTATTTGTTTTGTTAAACAATAATTTCACAGATGCAAATATTATCAGAAATTAAAACACAACAAATTCAGAACAAATGTGAAGAATTGGAAATCTAAATCGCCTTATTCAAACAAAATATTTTAAAAAAGAAAGATTTCAACTAGACTAATTAAACGAATCCTAGATATACATGTCAAATATGCGCGACAGTTTCATCACACAAAGTGGGTCTTATCCTGCTCGTGTAGAATTGCCTCAGGTGGAGGATACACGTGGTCTTAAGAACCAAAATTCTTACCACTCAAAATTCATTTGAAATTTTGAAATCCCTACCCCTAAATACTACCTGAAGCCGCATTACCAAGCATGCAACATATTCAGACTCTCCATTACTATTATCCCATACAAACATTTTTTTTCCAACAATTGTTTCTGAAAAAATAAATAAAAAACCATGTACTACCATAACACAAAAACTCAGACACGCCACTATCATCTCACTAATGAAGGCTATCCTCCACAAAACTAAAATCCAAGTCATTTACATATTCTTAATCCTAACGGAACGGAGGGCAATTACCACAAATATGCTGCAATCGGTTTTGAGAGAAAAAAACTCAAGAGAAGTCTCGCCACCGGCCTCGAAGGGCTTTACGTTCTCGTTCTTCCGGCTGTACTTGACGGCATCGTTCTTTTTGAGGTGATAAATCTGCGCCAGCACGGCGTTCAGCACGCCGCTGGTCTTCGTTCCATGCAAGATCAGCGTTTTCTTCCCGGATTCCACCTGCAAAATTATATTCCCGGAAAATGTAAGATTTTCTGGGAAAAGAAACGGAGAGAGAGAGGGAAAGAGAGGAAAAAGGGATGAATACTTACGAGCTTGGGGGCGCGCTTCTCGAGCTCCCGCTTGCCCTTGCGGGTCTTGGCGGTTTTAATTTCCAACATCGCAAGAAAAAGAGAGTATGCAGCTGTTGCCTACAACACTTTCACGTTTTAGGGTTTTGAAGAAGACCAGGGTTTTTGCCTTCCAATTTTATTTCTCTTCTACTAAACCCTCACCCAATTTTCTTTTTCTCCTCTTTTATCTTTTACTTTTTACTATTTGTTTTAAATTCCATGAGATTAATAAACATATTTATCAAATATTTTTAAAAAACTTATATATATTTTTTAGGAGTTTATTTTTTGTAGGAGTGTTATAAAGATTAAATTATAAAAATAACGTAACTTGATTTTTTTTTTATATTTTAAATGAGACTCTTTATATCACAGTACTTTTAAATAATTAATGCTAAAGATTTACATGTTTTTTTTAACTTTTTTTTTTATTTTTTACTTTTCGATAATTTAAAAACAATTATATTATTTTTAATTTTCTCCATTTTTCTTGTTGAATACAGGTTCGTATAAAAGTAAGGTTAAACTCTTTACTTTTTTTTTTATACGACAGCTTTTCGTATAATGACTGTGGATTGAACATATGTTATTATTCATATATGATTACAGTTAATTTTTAATTTAATTTGATATTTCATTTTAAATTTTGTATTTCATACTTATGTATCCCTTATTTTAGAGGAGTAAATGGTTATATTAATTAATATTGAGGAATACTCTATTTTTTGTTAGAAAGTATTATATATATATATATATATATATATATATATATATATTAGATAAAGATAAGTAATTTTTTTTGTATAAAAACTAATTTTAAACTTATGTATATGACGTATTTATTTAAAAAATTTAAAAATTGAGAAAAGAAATAAGAAATATTTTTAAGTTTATAATTTGATTTATGAATAAATCAATATAAAAATTTATTTATAAATTTAGAAAGCCAACATGTTTGTGAAAATATAAATAATAAACTTTGTAAAAATACAAAGGATAAATTATGTGTAAAAATATAGTAGATCTAAAAACCAGCTCACTCAAGAATGGGACGGCAGTGGTCCGCCGGCAAGCTCGTTCTGATCTTGGACGCAGTACATTGGAATCCTGAAGCACACCACGAACGCTACCGCGCGTTCGCCTGCGGTGCGGTAAGGCACCACCCTGTTGTGCCAGCAGCCAACTCCGGCGTGTCAGCTTAGTTATCCTCATCAAGCCACTTACTTGATGTCTAGCTTGCCAACTGGTAGACGGTTCCTTTTCCCCCAGATCAATGAAGAAGGGAGAAGTCAGTGGATTCTTTCGAAGAACCGGAAGCGAAGCGCTATGCCGGGCGCGGGGGGACGTATAAATAATAGGTAGAGTAGATTAGCTAAAAATACAAATCAATGTATGAACAAACTCATCTAATGTATATTGTTAAATTTGTTTAATCAATGCACTGTGAGACTCATCTAATATGTGTTGTTAGACTCCTCTAATCAATATACGGGCACACATGAGTATTGCTAGACTTGTCTAAAGTTTTTTGCTACACTAGTCTAATTAGTGTATGAACAAACTCATATAATATATATTGCAAAATTCATCTAATTAGTAAATAAACAAACTTGTTTAATGAACTCGTGTATGGAAAGACTTGTCTAATATATGATGTTAAAATTGTCTAATCAATATAAGAATAACTTGTTTAATGTGTATTGTTATACTCTATTCAATATATTGACAAACCCATCTAATATATTTTGTTTTACTTATCTCATCAATGTATTCTTAGAAAGTCAATAAAATAAAGATGGATAATGAGATAAATTTTATAGTATCTTCTTTTCTTATATTATAATATATTATAATAGAATATTTTTGTCTAATGTTAGTCTAATTTATTGTTAAATTCATCTAATAAATATTTTTTTAATAATTTATTAAATGATCAAGTGATTATAAATTATAAAAGCATAATATTAAGAATGAAAAAGAAAATAGTATAGAAATATATTTCAATTTTTAGGATAAATCAATTTAATAATAAAACCATTAAATAAAAGAGTGAATAACTTCTACACACGTGACACAAAAGTAAATATAAATAAAAAAATCAATTTAGTAATGTACTTAAAAATCCAACTTTTAGAACACGGTTAAACAAAATAGAATGGGTAATAAGATAAATTTCCTCATATCTTTTTTTTATATTTTTTTAATGTTTGTCTAATTTACGTTGTTAGACTTATTTTTTAACAATTTATTAAATGATAAAGTAATTAGAAATTATAAAAACATAAAATTAAAAATGGAAAAAATAATATAGAAATATTAATAATGAAAAAAATAATACATAAACTTATTTCTATTTTTTAGGATAAATCAATTTAAAAATAAAATAAATGAATAAAAGAGTCAATAACTTCGACCTTTTTTTTTCTGACAGAGCACATGTTAGATTTGAAATTATCAACGTAGTATACTATGCCTTAAATTTACACAAATAACACGATTTTTCTTAGTTCAGAATTTGGTTTCCGAAAAACCAAATTCTAACTTTGTTATGCATTATTTTTCATAAAAGTTTAAGTTAGAATTCAATTTCTGAAAAATCGAATCCTGACTTATATTTTAAATTTTTCAATAAAGGGAAGGTTAGAATATTTTAAATTTTTCAATAAAGAGAAGGTTAGAATTTGATTTACGGAAAACCGATTTTTGACTTTTATTTTCTAAAGATTTTTACGAAAAGTAAATTAGAATTTGGTTTCCAGCCAATTGAATTCTCACTTATATTTGAAATTTCTTTTATGAATGTAGGTTTGAATTTGGTTTTCGGACTATTTTCTAAGAATTTTTATGAAAAGTATTTTGGAATTCGGTTTTCAGGAAACTGATTTCTAAGTTTTTTTTTCTATATTTTTGTGAAAATGTATATTGTAATTCGTTTTACGGTAAATTTGTGTTGAATGAATTTTACAAAAAAGTAGGTTCAAATTTGGTTATCACTTTGACTTTTGTTAGTAGTGATCTAGATAATCGATTTCAGAGGTAATTTATTATTTAATTTTTATTTTATTAAAATGAAGAGGGAGAACGATTTTTTTTTGTAAGACAAATATAAGTTTTATTCATTGAATTACACTTGAAATAAAAGTTCAATGAATTTAATGATGAGATGTGGACCCTCTAATGTCAGGATTGTGAGGACAATGATTTCTTGTGTGGCCTAGGGTTTGACAGTATGAGTAATTTTGTGGATGTGCTCGTTCCGTGATGTCCATTTTAGTCTTGATTTTGGATGATTTTGGACGACCCTTTGCATTCATTTTTGTGACTGGATAAGGCAAAATTTTTGTGTCTTGGTATGGTGGCCAATATTCTTCATGTCGTAGCTCCCCAAACATATTGTTATACACTTTCATGATGACATCCAACCTATAGTAGGGACTGACGTAAATGTTAAAGTCGTGATAAACATGTTTGCAAGCTGCTAAGACATGTGAACACGGTACATGAATCTTTTGAAAATTGCCAAAATCACACCATCGTTCATCCAATCTGACAACAAATTTTCCTGTAGCTCGTATTTGTCTTGAGTTTACCATCTCATCGACTTTGAATCTTGTTGTATTTCTATCAAATTCAACCACCCTGTGGGTGTTTGATTTTGAATTAACATCCTGTAGGACCTTTGTGGCATTTTCATAATAGACATGACCAACACTTATCATTGCAGTTATATGTTTCCTTCTTTCTGTGAAAAAGGTGTTGCATCTTGTGTATGTGGTCAATACTATGGAGGAGATTAATAAATTTCTTGTCTTCTTTAGGACTGAGTTAATTGCTTCGACTAGATTTGTTGTTAGGTGACCCCATCTTCTGCCTTCATCATACGCAAGTGTGAATTGTTGTCTCGGAATTTGGTCAATCTAAGTTGTTGCTTCAAGATTGTTTTCCCTAATGATATTGTAGTAATAGTTACATCACGGCTCAGTCATTGCGTATACTACAATATTTAAGAAAATATTAATGATTACGGATAACGAAGAATAATAAAGACGACATTTAATTGGTTAAAATTTGTAAAAATGAAGTAATTACCCATGTTGACAAGGTCCTTCTTCAAACTTGTATCCCTGAATCTTCAGGTGAAATTTTGTGCAATGTGTCGAATGCAATACACATGCGCACATTGTCCTTCTGTCCATCCACTGGTCGGTCTATTGAATGTTGCAATAATGGAGTTGTGGCGATCTAAAATTAAGCACAAGTTTTGTTGAGGTGTGACATGTCTCCTGAGGTTTTTTAGAAAAAACAACCAAGTGTCTGCTATTTCACCCTCAACTATAGCAAAAGCAATATGAAGTATGTAATTTCTCTCATCTTGTGCCACAACCACCAGAACAATCTCCCTATATCTTCCATACATGAATGTTCCGTTCACTTGCACCAACGATTTGCAATATGGGAATCCATCAACACAAGGTTTGAAGGTCCAAAAAAGTCTTTTGAAATATTGTTGGTTTTGGCGGGCCTCATGGCCATCAATTATTGGTTGTGTTTTCAATTTGTACACAAAGTCGGGAAGAAAAGTTTGCATGGCTTGCAGTACACATTGCAATTTGTTGAATGGTTCTTCCTAATTTCCATACACATGTTCAATTACATGTTGTTTAGTCAACCAAGCCTTTTTGTAGGATGTAGTGTACCCCATAGAGGTCTTGATGGAAGATTTAATTGTTGTAATTGGTGTGAATGGGTCAATTTCGACCACCTCAAGTATGTGGTAGGAAATGATTTGTGATCTCAGCCTATTGTGATTTTGTGTGATGAGTTGCGAGGCACATGTGTGGGCACCATCAATTTTTCTTATTTCTCATACTTGATCTTGTGTACGAAGGTGGCTTGACAGTTCCATGGACAATGTTGATGTACACATTGCACCCTCAACCTTGTTGTGTTAAAGTGTATCGTTTTGTATGTACAATGGTTTTGTATGTGAAATGTGTTTAGAGCATCAATGACTTGTTCCTTGGTTTGGAATCTCATTCCTTGAGTCGATGTTCTAGGTTGATGGTCGAAAGTGTCATGCAAAACCGAATGGTGATCATATGCATGAGGATATTGTTGTAGATGCAAGGGAAATTCTTCATAGGATTAAA